TTGTGACTAACCATGTTCTTGTTTTTGTTCGTGGTTGGCCATTAATTAATAATAATGCGGTCCACATCCATAGGGTTAAGAGTCATCTGAAAAGAGGAATAATATATATCAGGTGTGAAGGAATGAAATTTTTGGATATATTTTCCGCTGTTAATGCTTTATTTTAAAAGTTGATAAATATATAAATCTGATAATAATTGTATAAACATGATAACTTGGTAAAGCTTATCAATAAATTAAGTAGAAGACGACCTCAGTGTTCTTATTTTCTAGTCGCTATAATTGAATATATATATATATATATATATATATATATATATATATATATATATTTAAATTTGCAACTGTTATCAACTTATTGGTTTTTTATTCGTTTACATGCGGTGTAAAGTGTGGATAAGATTTCTTTCTTCTTTTCAACTTTTTCCCTTTGCATGCACCCTTCATTCTGTGATAAAGATTTGAATCAGCATCTGATCAGCATGTTTGAATGGGAAAGTGATTAATATAATAATAGTGCATTACAAAAAAGGAAATTCCTATGGTTCTATTTTATATCTATATTTTTAATTCTTAATTAATACGAGAAAAGACAACTCCGACAATGAGGATGTGGAGTCATGCAGACGATACCATGAGGAATATATGCAGCGGGAGTGTAAGAAAAATGTATACCAGAAAATATTTTAAAAAAAGGTTGATGTTAAACAAATGAAAACATGATAAAAGCATAACCAATGAAGGAAATAAAAATGAAAAAGCAAACGACATTGAAAAAGTAGCATCTATCAAGTTGCTTTTGTATCCTTCAACAATATAGATGATATCATTCTTCGAAAAAGTAGCATGGATCATATTGCATTTATAACCTTGAAAAATATATATACATGATATCACCGATTCTTTAAACTGTTTTTTACATTTATTTTTTCATCTTGTATTGAAAAAGAAAAAAAAGAAAAGAAAAAGAAGGGAAGGTTCAATATTAAAAAATAACAATCATAAGGAAAGTAAGTTGTAGGAGTCAAAATTCATTTTAATTTTCTGCATGACACAAATCCATCACCCAGTTTCAAATAAACTCTCCACTTTATGAACCCAAATGAATTTCGAGTTATTTGAATAATTCTAACGAATTGAGTTTTAATTCAAAACTAAGGCCACAATATGTAAAAAAAAAATACTTATACATAAACTGATTACTTTTAATTTATATTGCAAACAAGTTGATATATATATTTGATGAAAAAGTGCCTTAGTCAAAGTTTTCAAAAGACAAACCTACTAGATACACGGTTTGCTGAACTGATATAAATCCATACCAACTGAGTGCATGCATTATAAACTTTAATAACAGTAATTCCATTTATATGCAAAATCCTGCAATAAAGCAGAGAACTACAAAAGCTTTTATTATGGAGAAAAGGTCTGAGTTCAGATTAGTATTGTGCAAGCTTTTTACTTGGGGGGTACGTGCGATTAATCTTATCTCATGATCGAGGTGCATGATTCATTAAGGATGATATATATCGTGATAAGATAGAGATTGACAGATCGTGGTCGTGAGAAACTTCGGATTCAACTAATAATAGCAAGTAGTACATTATTCTATTTATGTGAGTTGGTAAAACACTATAACATGAGAGAAAGAAGACATAGATTTCAGGCATGACATAGGCACTTTAAGGTACAGCAATTAGCTTTTGGTATATATATATATATATTTTTTTATGTATGAAAATGAAATGCCTAGGAAACAAGTTGGGGAATGGGGATGACCCTATGTAACTGGAATTGGAACAGAACATTGTCAACTACTTGGATAAAAATGAGGATGTGGTGGGGTTGATACCACTCATATTTTAGGCAAAATTATGGGCTTGTTTGTTTCAGAACATGTTTTGGCGACCAAGTTGATGTGGAAAAACCACTTTTTCCATTGAGCCCATAATTAAATGCAAAAAGCCCATACACGGAAAACGTTTGAGCTTTTTGAAAGTTAGTGATTTGGCTAATGATCTTATCCATTTATAACCACTGTCAAATTTTGATTAAACCTCTGTAAACTGCATAATAAGGATAAGTCAAACGCGGAAAGTGTTTGTCTGAAAATTTTTGGTTGGGCCTTTCTGCAGACCAAAGAAATACCCAAGAACTTTCCACAACGTCACAATTGAATAATAACACCATCAACACTAAATGTTTTAAAGTTTTGCAACAACGCAATTCTTGTATACTATGTATATAATACAAAATCTCGCCATGGTAAAAAAAATCTCCTCAGCAAGTTTGATTAAATCGTTTTAATCCTTAAACTATCATGTACTTTGATAGTTGATAGTTATGCTAAATAAAATTTAATATATATATATATATATATATATATATATATATATTTTTTAATTCACACAAGAATGAGAAAATTGATCATAAAAAAAAAATCATCATAGTGACGACTATATATCTAAACTTCACAAGATTAATTAGTCCAATAAAATAATATACTTAAACGTTTTGGCTATAAATTGATTCTGATCCAAGCAAACAAACCCTAAATATCTAAACTAAAAAAAAAAGGTGAACCTTTTAAGTTTTGTTTGAATACTTTTGGAATCTATAACAACAACCATTGGAGGTGGGAACAGAGTTTCCAAAATTGGAAGAGAGGATAAGACGGAATTGGCTCAAATTCTATTTGTGTTCAAAACCCTGCATTAGTGTGAAAGGTTGATGAGAGATTGATTACCAATGACTAATTGTGGACTTTTCATACCATCCCGTGGTACTATCTATAATCAATTAGGATCTAACTTTTTATTCAGCGTTAAAGTTTGAAAGAGCAATTTCATCGTCACAACAAAAGCAACTTTTTCTTAAATTTCTTACTACCAGTTGAAGTTAATCGATATACATGGAAATTACTTTTTCTTTTTCACGCTGCGTTGCAAGTTGCATTCGTGCATTTTTTTATCTGTCAGCAGAAGGTGCGAGAGGGTGATAAACAAACATGCAAGCTGATGCAATAAAGTCTAGTAGATGAGTGTGATGTCAAAGTGTCCAACCTGGAAATCACAGGTACCATCATTTCTTATAATTAATTATTTGAATTTAGTATTTCACAAATTAAAAAGTCAAAAGAAAAAAAAACTTGAAAATTGAAAATTATAAGTTCAACTTCACATACAACCCTAGAGTTTTTTTTTTTTTAATTTCTTTTTTATACTTTCTCTTGTAAATATTGTTGGTGATAAATTTTTCTAGATTAATTTTTGAGACAGGTGGTGGTACATCTAGTGGCATGGTAAGTGCAACTTTAATAATTCACCGTGTTCTTAAGCAATAATGGAAACATAGGTATCAACGAGATCTTCATCCGGCTCAATATCACGACGAAAGGTCAGGTTCATTCGCCTTGTCTGCGACAGATAATGTCAAAGGGGATAGCCAAAATTATTGATAACCATTCGGGAGTTTTTATAAAATATGTTTGAACAAGTAAATTAATGGTCTTATTCGTTTGGAAGTTATACAAGAAAACAACTTGAGTGGCGGCAGCATGCACGCATGAGCATTTACATCACAAACATTATGAAGATGTTTGGTGTTTGTTGTATGCATTATTTTATTGTAACCAACGATATTTATACATTATTTTCTTTAAAATAGTAAAACTATTTTATATTTGGACGAATAATTTATAGAGAATAATTTATTTTAATAAAATATTTAAAATACTTTATGAGAGTAATTGAAATTTTAGAAATTTATAAAAGTATTTTAATTAGTTCAAATAAAAAATATTAAATTTTACTTAAAAAAATAAGAATTTTAATTTTTCCCCTCAAATTTATATATCTTTTTTTTCTTTTAACTTAATATTGATTAAGATATTTCCTCAAATTCACATATTAAATTATTTTATTTAAAATAAAATTTTATTAGTATAATTTAATTTTGAAAAAAAAATAATTTTTTAAAATAATATTTTTATATAAAAATGTTATATTTTTATTTAATTTTTAATTAGAATAAAATTAACTTGTTAATTTATTGGTGTAACATAAAATCATACTAAATAAAAAATTATGTTAATTTTTAAAATATATAAGTGTAATAAACTATTTTTTTTTACTTAATTCTCAATCTGAATTTTAATAGCTCTAATATTAAATAAACAACCTATTAAAAAAAATCAATGTTTTTAGAATGATGGGCCATTTATTATATATACTTTTCTGTTTTATCTTTTATAATAGGAATATACTTCCTTTTGGTTTAACTTCTTGTGTTTTAAAATTTGTATAAGAAGTTCCGAGATAACTTTTTCAAACACTTCAAAAAAAAAAGTTCTGCAACCGAAATTTTTGAAATGCACAACCCAACCTCCAACTGAAAGCCGAACAAAACAATTAAATATTTGAAAAAAATATATATATAAAAAACAATGTAAGCAATAGATGTTGAAGCAACAATTCAATTCTCAAAATCAATTAATCACTGAAAAAGTAGGTGAAACGCACACAAACTTATCTGGCGCCATTAGGCGAGAAAACATGAAACTAAGAAAATTTGAGCTACCCTTGTTCACCTCAAGAAACTAGATGTTCATATTTACAATAGGAGCAAATTGAATGATTGGTGATGCTATTGATATTTTACTAATAAAATTGACATTGTTCCAAAAATGCCCTCCTGTGTGTTTGTTCCTGGAGAAAGAGGGGGACAACATATGAATGGTGTGAGTTGATGTAAATGCCACCTGCCTAATTCTGTCTCTGCATCTGAACCTTCTTACCCTAATAAGTGCTCCATGAAGACATCACCAATTGACCAACTAATGTTTTGTTGCACAAGTTGAGAAGTGCCAATTCTCATTGCGCATCTCTTCAACCACAAGTTGCCAACCTTGATTCCGTAGAATATCATGCAAGTGGCCATTGGCATCATCGCATAGTCATAAAAAATTTAGACAATCACTTCCCACCAAATTCACCACCCAATTATTGTGACACTGGCAGTGAAAGGGCACCAAATTGAGTTGCCACAAACGCCACCAAAACACAACCAATCACCGACATAACATTGTTGTATCTTCCGTCTAAGTCGGCTCCAGAGGTTTCCATCGCCACTGGGTTCCCCGATTTAATCGAACTGCATTCAAATTCAAACACCCAGTTCAAAATTAAACATAACATCTCAAAAATTCACAACATATAAGCTGAATTTGTTGTTGATGCTCCATCTGGACGGTGCAATTAGATTAAAACACGACATTGAAAAAATGGGAACAAAACGTGACAACCATGTCTATTGTGATACCGCACACCCAAAAACTGGTCCCCTAATTGACATTCCGCAAAACTTCATTTTCCTCAAAACAGTTTCATTTCAACGCCAATCATCAATAATATGCCTCTGTTCTAAAACACGTTTTAACAGCTAAGAGTTTCCGTTGATTAGTTAATTAATCATTATAAACTTTTTCAAGAATAAAAATTATGTCAGCTATTGAAAAAGAGAGAAATAAGTAATAAAAAAAATTACCTTGTGGAGAGTTGGGGGCAGAAAGTGATGGTATAATCCGCAGAGGCGCAAGTGAAGGTGCTGGAGCCATCGTCGTAGGCGTAGCTATAAGCGCGTGGGCACGCGCTCTTGAAGAACTGCGAGTAGGAACTGGGTTTGCATGTGTCAGGCGTCGCGTAAGCACCACTGCAACAATACTGGGGATCGCCGAAAGCTTCGCACGCGCTTTTACACGCGACCCCATCGCCGCTGCTCATCACCTTCAGCTCCGTCGGGCACGGCGTGTTCAGGTCTACCACGCACCCCGTCGCGGTGCAGTTCCCGCCGCCCGTTTCTCCCTGGGGCTCCACGATCATGGGGAGGTTGTAACCGTCGACCAAGCTCACGTCGAAGAAATCCAGTCCGCCGGCGCCGTTCAGCGTGAACTCCGCCAGAGTGGCAGGCGGGGCAGCGTTCCCGCCGGCGCATTCCACGGCCGAGGAGCCGCAGTCCCCGGTGACGCAGGAGAATTTTCCGGCGGCGTCCTGAGAGCAGAGGGTCCGTCCCCAGAGGCGGCCAGACCAGGCGGGTGGCACGCCGACAACGTTGGACTCGCCGGGCTGTAAAACAAAGCCGGTGGTGGAGAGCGGCGAGGTTCCGGCGCTGGATAAAATGCCGGGCCACACTGTATAGCTGCACTTGTTAACAATCGTGAATGTCGACGAAAACGAACCTATCCAACGTTAACACAACAGAAGACGGTTAATACAAGTGTTTGACAGTTAATACAAGTAGTAGTTAACACAACACAATAAAAAAGTTAGATTTGAAATATTTAATGACTGATAAGTAAACTAACACATATTCATGTTAATATGCTCCATAATAATATTTAACATGTTGAGAACATGAAAATGTTACGTTAGTATTACATGGTTACCTCCTAGGAATTGGAAGAGACATAGGGTGAGGAAAGTGGTGGAGAATTGAGTTGAAGGAGCCATTCTTGAAAGTTGGGGAATAAATGAAGGAAAGGAGAGAGTGAAAATATTCGATTTTCCTTAGTGTTAAATAGGATGAGAGTTGGATTGGGGGGAAGTGAATATATATAGAGAGTAGAGGTCCTGGTGTGGGGCATGTGGATTTAGGGTTATGGATGTGGGACCCAGAGGAGCAGTGCACATGCATGCATAAACCGCCAATGTGAAGGTCGGCAATGACTGGTTTATTGGTTACGATTTAACATAGGCCCTAGATTGAAGGAACCTGAATATATATAAGTATAAGTATATAAAATGACAAAAAAAAATACTGGTGGAGGGTTTTGAAAGGAATAAAAAACAGTGAAGCTGAAAAAGGACGGCGACGAATTTACATGCATAGAGGCAAAAATATGAATAGTGATGGAAAGAAAGGACCTTTGATACTCGTGCATTTGAAGCCACTATCATTTTTAAGTAACGTAGGACTGAGGTTGGTCGAGTTGAGGTCAAGTGGAGGACTGAAGGGTCAAATATAAGACAGTACAAGTACTTATTCCATGTGATTTCTGTCTCTCTTTTTCAATCTTGCTAATTCACATCACATGATCACATGCATTCTGCCTTCTATTTTAACAATTACTACATTCGATGCTTTCTCTATTGCTACATTGATAATTGCTTCCTTGTTTCTTGTGATACCACAATTATTGGTTTACAAGTTAAGATAATTTCTCTCTCTTAAAATATTGCTGTTTGCAATCTCAAAATCCATCTTTTATAAATCTCACCGTCATTTTTGAATAAGCGATATTAAATTATTATAGAATTTTGTTATAAAAAATTGTAATTTGTCTGTTCCGGCCTTGTCTTCTGCTATGGACTTGCATTGAAAACGGCCCAAAAATATCTGAAAACTGTAGCTGAAGAGCATACAGTCCCGTGTGAGCCCATATCGTGCAATAATTAACCAGTAAGCCATTGGAACGTGGCATCGAAAGCCCGGTTTTCATTCAAAACGAAACAAAGTTTTCATTATTGCACGATTGACCAGAAATATCTAACGAATAATCTCGTTTGCATGAAAATTTGAAACCACTAAAATTGAACATTATGCCAAAAACAATATCGTTTCAAGTCGTTTTCAAATTTGTGTCTCAAACAAACAAAAATATCTCACGCATGCGTCCGAGGAATTAAGGAGGCACTTGTGCTCAGACCCAATTTTTTTTTTTTAAATGAAACATTCGCAAAGATGCAAGTGACCAAGTTGGTTGTGTTCATAAATATTGGGCCGACAAATGATGAACTCAAGTTGCTGCTTCACAGTTAATTGTCCTATGAATTGACGAAAGGTCGACAACCTTAACAGCCCAATGTTACGGCCCTTGCTGTGTTAGGGTGATGACATAAGAAACATGACAGTCTTTGTTTTAAATTATTTTTTATTGGTTGCTTCCTCTCATAATCTACATACAGCACAAGTTGGCAAGAGTTCAATCTACTTCCATTACATGAATATAATTGAACATAGTATATTTTTAATCAATTAATTACAATAATTCTCAGTTCCTTTTTAGTGTACTTGTATTCTATTCAGATAGTCACAAGTTGCAAATACTATCAATTAACTATAATAAGTCATAGTATATGATCCCTACTATATGTTCTTTTTCGAAATTATGATGACCGGGGTAAGAAAATTGAGGGTAGTTACTAGAATGCTTTTATCATTAATGAAGATCCAATCAATTTATCATCTCACTTATGATTCACTTCTCAAGAAAATCCTATACGGAAAAAGGCTAGTCATATTTGAGTTGTTATTGGACATTAAAAAAATTATTCAAATTTGTAGAGTGAATGGCAAGTAGGTATTTGTTTTCGAAAATTTGGGAAATTGTAAAAGGAAGTCGATTTCATCTTATATTTGATGATCCTCAAAATTATTTCATGCAATGGAGCTTGTTCATAAGCATGGTAACAACTTCCATCGTAGAAAATTACAGGGCCGTAATCTATCTACAGAACACAGGAAAGCAAAATAATTTTTCTGCTGCACAAAAAAGAGGGACATCATATCTTTGCAAGTGCAAGTGCATGTGCAAGTGGACACAAATTATTTAGTATACTTCCACATTCCATTGTTCTGCTTTCTTCAATTGCTTCTTGTAATCAATCCAATCGATACCTACACCACAAAAACCAACTCAACATGAAAGAAGAAATCTCTCCAATTATGTGCTATGACTAGAACATGCAAAGTGTATCAGTGAATCAATCTGAATGAGTTAAATAACCGAACCACTTTCAATACTGCAACAAACTAAAGAAACAGTTGAATTCAATTCGGACAAATCATTCTTCAGCTTAGTTAAGTTTGAACAAATTTTTGTGCTGAAGTGCATTATGATCTGAGTTAACTATGAGTAAAGGAAAGTGTTATGTTACCATCTTTTGCGGCCAATGAAACCATTATGTCATCGATTCCCTTTTCCATTCCTTTCAATCCACACATGTAGACAAAAGTGTTATCTTTCTTCAGTAATTCCCATAACTCTTCTGCATATTGAGCCATTCTTGTTTGAATGTACATCTTTTCTCCCTTTTCGTTTGTTTGCTCTCTGCTCACAGCAAAGTCAAGTCTGAAGTTTTCTGGTGCTTTCTCCTTCATTTTTTCAAATTCCTGTTCCACATATCACCATATGTGCAACAAAGATCTGTAAGTCTTCAGATTCCACACACCAAAATGATGGAAGATGTTCCTCAATAAAAACAACAGTTTGATCATCTTACCTCCTTATAAAGTAGTGAGCTGCTTGTAGGGACACCCAAGAATAGCCATGCCAAACCATTGAACTACATAAACCCCATTAGTGATCAACTATGATTACGTAAAAATACATTTTTTATAGTACTAAACTCTTAATTAGTTTCTTATGCAGCAACTAATTTATTTTTCCTACGATTAATACGTGACTAAAATTTTTCTTCCTTCAAAAGATGAATTTTTTGTACGGATATATGGGTCATAAGCCAAGTATATAAGAGAATATAACACCACTTTCAGCCCAAAATCTTAAGACATTAGTGTATAGGTCTTTCTCACTTATAAGTTACTCAACTTTCCTATTTCTACTTAATGTGAGACTTCAAACTCAGACTTGAATTCTCAACATTAATAAGCTCCTCATGGTTGTTGATTTCTATGGTAACTCAGTAGTAATTTACTTTTCCCTTGAATCTATGTAGTGATTTATGCCACACGGCTTATAGTCCTGGCCAATACTAGGTATCTAGAATCAAGAACAACATAGAGTCTCGATGTACACTTACCTTGTAATCATCATGCTTCTCGAAGAACATTTTCCATAAAAATGAGCGAAATGGGGCAATTCCAGTTCCAGTGGCCAACTAAGGAGAAAATTTCAGTGAAGGTGAGAATGAAATCAATGATAATCTTCAGAACAGCTTCTTTATAAGGATTTTAAATGAAAAGAAATAAAAAAATAGTTAAAGTTAGCTTATATGTGTTATTTGTAAATACTTTTTTCATGTAGCTTTTCCAAAATTTTCTATTCTATTAAGATGAAGAGGGTTGGGAAATGTGTACCATGATGACGGTGGCATTAGGATCTTTTGGCATAAGCATTTCTTTACCAACAGGTCCAGTAATCTTTACCTCAGCTCCTGGCTTCAAGTCACCTGAATAAGCATTGTTACAAGTAAATTCTACAAAAGGTAAATTTAAGGAAAAAAACCTCACATTTACTTTATTAAGTACATAATATATTTATATGCATTAAAAGGAAGAAAAATTAAGACCATCATAATATATTTTGACATATTGACTCAATTCTTTCGTTAACATGAAAATGTACCTATTAGTTTATAAATATGTTTTTAAACCAATATTAAGTGATGCATTGGATCTTCAACCTATAACCCTATATTATAAGTAGATATTATACACAAACTAAAATCATTAATCCTTACATAAGTAATTTGAGCAAACTCCCTTGACAAGTTCTCCGTTTTCATTTGTGTACACAAGACGTTTCACGCATAAAGAAACCTGTTTGAAGGCATCATATAGATCAGATGGAAAAGAAGTTGGAAGTTCTAGGTGAGTAAGAGATAAATTGAGCAAGTTTAACTACGATAATGCTATCTTGCAGAAGATAAATGTGGATTCTAATCTCAAATTCTTTTTGGGAGGAAGAAAATGGACAAGAATCTGAAACACAGATCAACATTCAACTTTTGACAAAAGCTTAATAAAAACGATGGAAGTTAGAATTATTAAATCCAAATCCCTAGCAACAATAATTTATAAAAAATAGCATTCTTAATTAGTTCTCCAAATCAAGTGTTAGACTCACAGTTTTGGAATCTCCAAAATCACCAAGGGCACTGCTGGCAATAGAATAGAGTCTCAGTTTGTGAGGCTTGCCATTCTTGTCAACCCCATCAGCAATTACCCCGATTGATTGTCCTTCTCTGTAAGGAACTTCTCCTGAAACAGCACAAAATCATATATTTTTAATAGAAACGCAGTGTTTATTTATTTATTTGTCACAGAAATTTATGGTATGAATAGAGAAGGAAAAAGGTAAAATTTAGAGGAAAACTACCCTCAGTGCTGAAGACCATGTGCCAAGTTTCTCCAGGTGCATCATCCCCAGTGATCTTTGTGTTGAGAAGACACCTACCAATATACGGTTCCTTGGGTTTGAACTTGTTCACAATCACACCTTCATCTTGTTTCTTGGATTCCTTTTCAACCTTAGCAGGTGCCTCTGTGGTGACTTGGGCTCTGACCGAAACTACTCTTCCACTGATTGAAACATCTCCGTATTGTAACGATACCTGAGAAACACAAGGACCGGATCATATTCCAATTACACTGCAGTGCTAAAACTGCAATCTGTTGCTTCAGTACATGTCTATGGAACGTACCTTCTTGAAGACTATTCTATCTGGGGCAGTGATAGAGGTTCTGCTTGGAACAGAGGTGGACTTGGATGCAGGAAAGGAGACTGCAGCAGTTACCGCAGTAGCCATGTTGTAAAAACTAGGATGGAGAAAGAGAGAATAATATTTATTGAAGTGATGATATGATGTGTGTGCAGAAAATAGACTGAGTGAGGGTAGAGTCGTTATTTCTGGTTGCACAGAAGATTTCAGGATTGGGTGGATGAGATTGCAAGGCAATGCAGTGGCAGATGTGAGGATAAGTTTATTTGTATGGTATTGTATTGCATTGCATTATGTGACACTCAACCCTGCAAGGACCTTTTTACCCTTCACCCACTTTCACCACCCATATCATTTACACAACAATGTCGATACAATATTCAAAAGTTACCACTTTGATCTCCATTTTTTACTTTCGATTCTTCATTTTAAAACAGTCATGTTAGTTTTCATATTCTAAAAAGCTCACAAATATTTTCTAATTTTCTAATTTTTTTCTACATTTTTTTATTTCGTGTATATTAATTAATTTATTAGATCATGATGCTAAGTAATGTAATTAAAGAAGAAAGTAAGAGAAAATATGGTAGAACAGAAAATAAATATATAAATATAATAATCCAATGGAAAAAAGAGATATAGAAATATAAACTATAAATTAATTAGGATATTTAATTGTAGTCATTAATTGATTTGTTTTAGTGTCTACTACGTTTTTCTTTTTGGTCTCATTCATTTCTTCCTTAAATCTTCTCTCTTTTTTTTAAATAAAAATAAAAATAGAACCCCCTTTCTTCCTTTCGTTTCAATCTATTTATAGGAGTTTTTGAATGATGCAAAATTTCAAATCCATGAACTTGTTTATGGAGACGTGTGATTGTGACTTTGTTTATGGCAAAGTAATTATAAATTGAGCAATGATATTTGGATAACCAAGCAGAAAAATATAATTTTTAGACAATTCTCTTGAATTAATATAATAATAAATAAATTTATGATTAAAAATAAAGATAAATGGTTGTTAATTAATTGTTTGTTTAATTGTGATTTTTATCCTTATAAAATTTTCAAAAAAGTTGATTGATTTCAAACTTTGAAAGTACAAAGTTATGGTATTTGAACGGTGGAAAAGAAAGGCGGATATGATAATATATTGTGCATATATATAAAAAACAAGAATAAAAGAGAAAAAAAATAAAGAAAAAGAAAATAATGTTTTTTTTTCACTTAAATTATAATAATTGAATTAAATTGAATTTTTTTATCAAATTTAAAAGATTCAAATTTATTGCATAAAAAATATAATTTAAATTAATCTTAAAAGAATAGAAAAACAAAAATAAATATATTAATTTAAATATATGTAAATATATATAATAATAATAATAATAATAATAATAATAATAATAAGTTGAAACTGAATAATCTCATAAATAATATAGCTAAAAACAAAAATTACCTAAATAGAATCTTTATTTATCCAAATAGAAATATTTATTATTCATACTAAATTTTATAAGTAAAAATAAATTATTTTCACATAATATAATTATTTTTCCTTTATTTTTTTATTTTCTTTATCTTCATTTACTTTTTGTTATTTTTTTCTCTATCTTTTTTTTACTCTATTTTCATTTAGTGTTTATTTTTTTCTCTTTTTGTTTGTTATTTGAGAAAATATTATATGATAAATTTGAGATGTTACAAATATTATTATTGTGTTATAATTATTAAGAAAAAATTATATATTTACTTTGAAATAATCTTTTAACAAATATATTTTTAAATTACCTAATTTAACTAATTGTCATAATTCAACCTAATTATAACTATATTAAATTATTAAATAAAAAATACATTTAACACATAAATATTTGATATTTTTTAATTAAATGAGTAATTATTATTATAATAAATAAATTTAAATTAATTATTTATGATACAGTAAATAAATTTATTTATTATTAAAATAAATAAAATTATTTATTGTAACAATAATTTTAAATTATCAGTTACTTTTTTTATTTTAAATATTGATTTTAAAATATTTGTTTTAACATATTTTTATTAAATTTTAATATAATAATTTAATTAACGGAATAATAAGAAAAGAATAAATAAGAGAAAAAAGAAAAAAACAATAGACATACATAGAAAATAAAGAAACAAAGAATTAATTAGAAAAGAAAAAACTAAAAAAAATTATTAAATAAAAAAGGAAAACTACATATATACAAGTCTATTTAGATAAATAAATTAAAAAAGATTTTATTTATATAATTTTCTTAAATAACTCTTTTTCTAACAAACGAGAAATGAAAGAGTAAAAATATGTACAAGATAACTAAACAAAACCTTGATAATTTATAAAACATAACTAAAGTGAGCAGCTTTACCATAATGTTTATTTAATATTATTTCTGTGTAATTAATTCTTACATTTATTTTATACTTTCTCTTTTGTCATTTCATTTATAAAATGTTCTTCTTAATTTGTTGATCTCACTATAAATACATACATTGAAAGAAAGGTCAAATCATCATTATTATCGGTGCATATTTGGGTTACGGGAAAGTATACCTATTCCTTCTTATATTTTTCTTTCTAAAATATCAAATTTTCTCTTTTCAAAAAGAAAAACATACGAGAATATGGAGTTTTTATTTCTCATTCAATAGAAATAAGTTTTTTTCTATGATATTCAATCTTAAAGATTTAATAATAAGAAATTTTGATTTAAAAAATTATGAAAAAAATTTATTTCACATAAAAATCTAATACCATTCTTAGTTTAAGTATGTGTATGTTTAATCTTAACTACAAAAATTATCTCTCTGCAAAATGAAGATAAAAAAATAGATTTTTATTATATGATATAAAATGAATATAACTTTCTAATTTTACTTAACCATTTTTCTTATTTATTAGATTTTTTTCATTACAATTTTTTTCTTAAGAGTTAAACAGATTTTATTGATTAATAAAAAAGTTACATGACCAAATTATTGATTAAAACAAGTTATAATGCACTTATATAATATGCTAATGTGCTCAAATCTCATAAAAGAAATATTTTAATTTTTTGAAAATAAAGATATAATTAATAAAATAATAATATAATTTTAAAATTTTAGAATATATAATTGTTATGCAACTCTATTGTATAAAAGAAGGAACTCCTTTTTTCACATGTTCAAGAGAACGTTGTAGACCATTAACAAGTATTTCTTTAATTGGTGCGTAGTTGTTAGTGGATTTTTTGGATGTAATTAGTTAAAATTTTGGGTCTAATCTATACTAGTAATAAAAATGACTTTATACTATTCTAAAAATACACATCTCTAATTTTCTTCTTATTTTATTATTATCCTGGGTATATTTATTCTTTTAAAATTTACTTATTAATTTATGACATATTCTTAAAATTTCTATTCTTATTGTATGCGGAAGAACTTGAGCAATATATCACGTATAAATCCCGAAGAACAATAAAATGAAACAACCATGTTTAAAATAAAAATACAATTTGTTAAAAGAAGAATAAGAGAAGGAAAATATGGACCTTTCGTGACAAAAAATGATGGTATAAGCAGTGGATGAGCAAGATAAAATGGCAGGGTCATTAGGGCATTCGTTCTTGAAAAAGTTAGAATGAGGGCATGCGACGCACTCTCCGTCCTTCATTACCCTCTGCTGTGGGGGACAGGCTGCGTTCAAGTCCTTGACGCAACTTGTCCAGTAGCAGTTCCTGTTCTGTGGTTCAATAATCGCCGGAACATTGAAGCCATAGGCGAGGTTGACCTCGTAGACGTCGAGTCCGCTGGTTTTGTTCAGAGAGAATTGCACGAGAGTAACGGGCGGAGCGGGGTTGTAGCCAGCACATTCGATGGAGGAGCCGCAGTCACCGGTGATGCACGAAAAGTTGTTGGTTTTGGGGTGGGAACAGTGGGTCCGAGCCCATATTCGACCGGACCAATTAGGGGGCACACGGAGCGTTTGGGACTGCCCTGGTTGAAGGGTGAAGCCGATCGTGGGGAAGAACTCAGAAGTTGCAATGTCAGAAAAAATGGCTGGCCAGACTCTATAGCCACATTCATTGACAATCGTAAATGTGGTGGTCGAATTTGAACCTGTGCAATATTCAACATGGCCTCTTAAACCCAACATGCTTCAGCCCCAAAAAAACTTGTTATGCAACATGGAAGTATCAAAAAGACAACAATACAAAAAAAACTAGGTATGCAACGTGGAAGTATCCAAAGACAATAGTAATATACCAGCTGAGAGGACCAATTGGAAGACACATAGGATGGACAAAGTGATGAAATTTGCAATTTTTGTTGAAGTGCCCATATGTTTCCCGAGCTTCTCACAAACATAAAAAAAAAAAAAAAAAAAAAAAAAAAAACAGAACACAAAAAACTACCCTCACTAAACCTGACTGAGTCAAGTCAGTCGACAAGCCAAACAACGGAAATAAAGTGTCCTTGTTATGTAAGTGCCTTCCTTTTTCGGCGAATTTACAAGACATTGACGAGACATAATTATATATATGTTTCTACCAAGTGCCAATAATGGATGGACTTAGACATGATTGATTACAGAGAAATTATGTTTTTCCAACACTTTTATCAAAAACATTCCTCCAATAATTTATTATATTAATATAATAATATTATTTATTATTATATTATACTATTATTTGCAATTGTTAACAAAAATATGAGTTGTTAACGATAGAGAAGTGATATTTTGACAGTTATATACCTACTCAATTATAATAATATTTTATGAAAAAATATTATTATTATTACTGTCGTTGTTATTATATTATAATTAAACTATCAAATAAGTATATCTTATTAAATAATTATTAATATATCACTATGCTGTATTGTATTGGCGTCCTACAAATTTCGGTTTGTTTCCAAAATTAAGTACATATGTAAGAAAAAAATAAAAGAAATATGTTTCTTAAAATAGCTGTTATTAGAATAATTAATACAAATTTTTAAGTGATTAAACATTTTAGTGTTTATTGAATAATATTTTTAAATAAGAATAAGAAAAAGGAAAAATAAAGTGCATTGCGTTTCAAAGCAGAAAATGGTTTGACGTATTGACCCAAAATAAGCTGGCGGTGGAAGCATTGTGGAACGAAGAATGTATGGAATTGTCATTAGTCATTTCATTTGACTACCCGGAATCTCGCACTAATTATATTAAAAGAGAATATTTCTTTCTTTAATTCTTTAATATATATATATATATATATTAATAATATTAATTTACAACAAATCTAATTCTATCTCATGACGTTATTTGGATAATAAATAATATTAAAATAGATATAATTTATTATTTAAAATATTTTAATAATTTTTTTGTAAATAGGATTATATATATATATATATATATATATATATTAATTTAAGTATGAGAATGGCTTTACACGTATATTTTTTTTTCTTTATTTAAAACTGATTAGAACTCGGCTTAATAAATATGAAGACAAAAACCGTACAAATCGACTGTTTGTGCTTTTATTTATTAATTTATTTTCTTGTAAATGTGAAATTGTGAATAAACCTAAAAAAAAGTCTCAACACGAAATGCATCAAATTTTGATTAAACCAAATATATTCAGTATATAAATATTGTGTTACATTTATTAGTGTTAGAGTATATTGCTGGTCATCATAAGTTACTTTGTGAATTTTGACTAGGTTCCGTGTACAACAGTCTGATAAAATTGGAGTGTTAAGCAATAGGATTCAAACATATTAATTGTCCTTTTACACATTGAAAAGGTGATATATGTCAGTTTTTAGAACTTGAAATGTGATGTATGATGTTTTTGTAAAAATTTAGAAAGTTGTCACCTGTCTCTACTAAAATAATATTTCCCTTACGATCTAGCACACTGGTATCCATAGTCTTGCAAAACTACATTTAAATTATCTGTTGAGATTTGATTTATGGAAATAGTTGTATTAGGTTGGATGGAATTGGCATTTTGTTGTTGATGCCAAAATTAGAGCACTTTACTCTCACTATTAAGTTCAGTTAGCTAACTAATACAGAATCTAATGAATGCTATAATTGCAATCTACTAATTAAATAAATAAGGTATTATTATTTTATTATATTTAATAACTCCTAATATAAATAACGATACCTATCGAATCTTTTTATGTTTGATACACTTACTTAATAAACTTTTTTTTATTATATATATAAAAAGTTAGGGTATTTATGGTTCGGTTTTATTTGATTTTTTATAAATTAATTAAACCAAAAATCAAAATTAAATATGATTTTATTTTATTTTTATTTAATATAAAATCTAAATGAAAGTAAACTAATGTTTATAATTTAGTGAATTAATTTTTAGTTTTTGTTATTATAACATTTTAAAATGGTTTTGAAATTATAAAATATTTTCTTAAACAATATTAAAAATATAAAGATATATTGTGATATTTTTCAATTATTGTTATATTTATAATATACTTTCTATAATTATAATAAATTACACAATCCCATAATTAAAAATTGTAATGCTTATTTTAGTGCTTTATCAAGGTGTTTCTTGTATTGAACTTTATAAATTTTTACATGGGAGTAAATCATTTACAGGTAGCAACTCTTAATAGGACTGAATAATGTTTTACAAAAGTTTAGTATTTTTGTTCTTGTTGTGAAATATAAATATTATTTCTTATGAAAATGTATTTATGTATTTTGAATTACCCACATGATTATGATTAGATAATTATACATGTTATTTAGATATGTTTTTAATTGTTAGTATTGTATTAAAACATTTCAAACAAAGACTTTTAATTAGGGTCTTAAATTTAATATATATTTTATAAAAAAATTATGATTAATATAATGAAAATCATAAAAAAATAAAAGTATGAAATAAACTAATTTTTAATTATAAAAATTTAAAGCATATACAGAAGATTACAAAAATATAACTTATATGACACACGTCAATTATACAATTAGTTCCCAACCATTCAAATGTGAACTGATATGGTTTAAAAAATTTATAATTTGCATTGGAGAAATTAATAATATTTTAAAGTATTAGTATAGGATTAATTCTAAGACATAAAATTAAAATAAACAACAAATTTACTAAACTATGCATCAGGGATATTTTGTAATATGTTTTCAAAATTATGTACACGTGTGAGAACACAATTAGTTCTGAAATCTTGGGCTTTTATTTCTTACGCTGCCCCTAATTGCTAGTTACACCACTTTCCTCGAATTTGATTGCCATCGCCAAATATTACCATTTTATCTAACAAAGGTATAAAATCTAAGCCCTATTAATATCACCCTCAATTCTGATTGTTCTTGCAAAATCCTTCTTGCCAATTTTGTATCTTTTGAAGAAACAACCTATGTTTGTAGTGATGGGCCTGTATGAATGATTGGGCTCAATTGAAAGATGTGGAACCGTGCTTTTCGGTTTTGTAGTTGATAGAATGGTTAGTAATAATCAAACATAATGGCGTGAGAAAGCCCTGGTTGAATAATGGGCAATGGCTATGCTTTTGTTCAAATGTCGTGTGGTTTGTGCTTACACCTTGCCAAGGTAACCATTTGACCATCATCTTCAATGGGTATTACCTGCATGTGACATATGTATGAATAGATATTTTGTTTGACTATTTAAAACTAGTATATGGATACCATACCAAAAATTCTGGTCCTCTGCTAACATTGACCTACTGTTGTAGTCGTCGATACCTGTATAAAGTTTATACAACTAACAACAGAGAGAGAAAGATCTTTTAGTTGCAGTGGTGGATAATATAACAAGTATTATACGTTGGTCTCATGTCTACTACGGTCATGAATATAATATAATAATATCGATGTGATGAATTATTCAGTTATTGTCAACTTTTGAATTTGAATTCTAATTTTAATTTGTTATGATTTTATTAAAATACAATTAATTAAAAGAAAAGATATATATAAATAATTCTTTAATTTTAATTCTTAAATCATGAAAAGCCCAGTAAATTCTTTATTCCACTTTTCAAAGTATAGACAACAATTCAAGTTAACCATATTTTGATGAATATCTAGTAAAAAATATTTACAGAAAAGAAATTAATGTTAATGATATTTAGAAAAATAGAAAATGGACTGATCATTGCTCGTAAACCTGACGTGGGGTGGTTTGAACACGTCCAACTCTAGCCTTGGAATCTTTGGACCACGATCCATCACCAGAACTCAGGTTAAGGACATGTGCCTCTCTGTTTATTCCCTACTGTCTATTCAATTTGAAAAGCCCACGAATCATTCAAAGTAATAAATTATTCTCTCGTCAGACTTTTTCTATAGGGTCCAGCTCAGCCAACAAGAGTATACTGTCACAGGTAACAAAACCTGCGAGACGCTTTGCAATCTACTTTCAGGTTAAAATTACCTCAGAAGATCAAAAGTGAAATATTCTGTTTTACAAGAAATTCCTCTGATGTAGTGCTGGTTCAGTACTTGTGTATGGTCTCAATTAAATTTTCAATTTTATAAGAGAAGAAAAATACGTGAAAATTACGAGAGGCCGTAATAATAATAATAATAATAATAATGCAAAACCACTTGATCATTTTCTCTAACGTGGACAACCTCTTCTGTGGAGTGTAGAGTAACAATTGAAGAGGTGGAAGAGATGGAGGAGGAGAAACAAGTAAGTATGTATGTATGTATGTATACACAACGAAAAGGATGAGGGAAGAAAAAAGAATGATTGAGTGAAAAAACTATACAAATTATAAAGAACACAATGTAGCATTGTGGAATTGTTGCTAGTGATGAAAATGCAATTTATGGGATCCTCTGGGGCCTCTGGACTGGTAAAGCTCCAACCTGCTCTTGGAATCGAGCAAAAGGGGTTCGAGGGTTTGGTTATGAGCAATGGAGGACTGCTTGGAGGCCCATTCAATGACTCCCAGGACTTCAGCCTGAGCAAGTTCGTCACTGTCGGGGACGTGCATTGCAATGTAGGAGAGCAGAAGCAGCGCCGGAATCTGAACCATCTCTTCCCCAAAATACACGAGCTGAATCAGGTGTTTCGCCCCACCCGCGCTTATTAT